AAAGAGAACATAAATTTATATAGGGAGAATCCATCATCTTGTATTACACAGTCAGTCGTACTAGTGTGTTCTCTTAACTAGCCATAACTTTAATTTTCATATTTCAATGAAATTTGGCAAGTATGGTTTTATTTTTCTTGTAAATGTATGGTCTTTCTTAATCCTAAGTGATTAAATTGTAAAACTAAAAGAGAACATAAATTTATATAGGGAGAATCCATCATCATCTAATACACAGTCAGTCGTACTAGTGTGTTCTCTTAACTAGCCATAACTTTTTCATATTTCAATGGAATTTGGCAAGTATGGTTTTATTTTTTTTTGTAAATGTATGGCCATTCTTAATCCTTAGTGATTAAATTGTAAAACTAAAAGAGAACATAAATTTATATAGGGAGAATCCATCATCATGTTATACACAGTCAGTCGTACTAGTGTGTTCTCTTAACTGGCCATAACTTTTTCATATTTCAATGAAATTTGGCAAGTATTGGTTTTATTTTTCTTGCAATGGCATAAACTTTCTAAATCTTAAATGATAATTCAAGTTGTAAAAGAACTGAAATTTACATGGGGAGAATCCATCATCATGTCATATTCACTATTCAGTCAGTTGTACTAGTGTGTTCTCTTAACTGGCAATAACTTTTTCATATTTCAATGGAATTTGGCAAGTATGGTTTTTATTTTTCTTGTAAATGTATGGCCATTCTTAATCCTTAGTGATTAAATTGTAAAACTAAAAGAGAACATAAATTTATATAGGGAGAATCCATCATCATGTTTTACACAGTCAGTCGTACTAGTGTGTTCTCTTAACTGGCCATAACTTTTTCATATTTCAATGAAATTTGGCAAGTATTGGTTTTATTTTTCTTGCAATGGCATAAACTTTCTAAATCTTACATGATAAGTTGTAAAAGAACTGAAATTTACATGGGGAGAATCCATCATCATGTCATATTCACTATTCAGTCAGTTGTACTAGTGTGTTCTCTTAACTGGCAATAACTTTTTCATATTTCAATGGAATTTGGCAAGTATGGTTTTTATTTTTTTTTTTTGTAAATGTATGGCCATTCTTAATCCTTAGTGATTAAATTGTAAAACTAAAAGAGAACATAAATTTATATAGGGAGAATCCATCATCATGTTTTACACAGTCAGTCGTACTAGTGTGTTCTCTTAACTGGCCATAACTTTTTCATATTTCAATGAAATTTGGCAAGTATTGGTTTTATTTTTCTTGCAATGGCATAAACTTTCTAAATCTTACATGATAAGTTGTAAAAGAACTGAAATTTACATGGGGAGAATCCATCATCATGTCATATTCACTATTCAGTCAGTTGTACTAGTGTGTTCTCTTAACTGGCAATAACTTTTTCATATTTCAATGGAATTTGGCAAGTATGGTTTTTATTTTTTTTTTTGTAAATGTATGGCCATTCTTAATCCTTAGTGATTAAATTGTAAAACTAAAAGAGAACATAAATTTATATAGGGAGAATCCATCATCATGTTTTACACAGTCAGTCGTACTAGTGTGTTCTCTTAACTGGCCATAACTTTTTCATATTTCAATGAAATTTGGCAAGTATTGGTTTTATTTTTCTTGCAATGGCATAAACTTTCTAAATCTTACATGATAAGTTGTAAAAGAACTGAAATTTACATGGGGAGAATCCATCATCATGTCGTATTCAGTCAGTCGTACAGGTGTGTTCTCTTAACTGGCCATAACTTTTTCATATTTCAATGAAATTTGGCAAGTATGGTTTTATTTTTTTTTGTAAAAGCATGGTCTTTCTTAATCTAAAATGATAATTTATAAATTTCTTGTATTGAGCAATTCTAACTTTATTTGTTTTATATTTTTTTGAAACATTTAAGGAAATGAGAGACTGTTTTCTACTCAAGGCTATAAATCTTAAAAATTTAAATAAATTATTGAAAACGGAGGAGCTTTATAGCTGCCTTATAGACATAATTTATATTCAAAAATAAATATTAGATTTTATATAGTCAGTCCGTACCTGTATGCGTATTGAATGAATTTATTAGAGTCCATGATCGTGCTGACCAGTGAAACCTTGAGGGCTTTAGGTCTTTTCTTTCATTTTATTTCATGTAAATTTGCTTGGTGTGGTACATGTATTTTTATTCCATAACACCTTCCAAACGCTACCAGTTCATCTTCTTTCATCTCTTTTTTATGATTTAAATTTATTAATTTCTTTGAAAGAGCTATAAAAGTGTTATATTGCATGAAAGAAGACAAACTGGTTCTTTTAATCACTTTAAAGAAAGCATTTTTCTGGTTTAGGATTGAGAAGCTACTGCATTTACATATTATTTAGAATGGAATACAATGGGATTTATTCCCAAATCAGGGCCAGTGGGCATAAACATCTATAAGTATAATATACTTAACTTTTGTCAGTGTTGCTGAAAAACGAATTCCGGATAAATATAACAGTTTAATCTTTGAATTTTACGCTATTTGTCAGAGTCACCAATATGTTTCTTAAAGTACGACTTATACATAGGGAAAGAAAAAGATGTGGGTGACAATGTCAATGGTGCCAAAATGAGGAATTAGAAATAGAAGTATCACAAGTCATGATTTGATTTGGTCTCTTTCAATCAATTTCAAAAACATTCTTTGAAAAGTAGAGAAGTTTTTGTCTTTGTTTGAATCAAGTCCATTATGCTACAAACAGCAGAGCTCAAACTAAACAGGTCCAGTACAATCTCCTGATTTAGCTATATAGCTTTAAATAGCTATATAGCTTTATTGAGCTATTGAAAATAGCTTTATTTAGCTATTTTTATACAGTTTTTCACAAAAATGTTTTTAGCTGAAAATAAACAAAAAGTCGCATGTATTTGACTCTTCATATTTGTATTATGGGCTATCAAAAGAACAACCAAAATCAAAGATAGTTCTAACTTTGCAGCTTTTGAATACTTTTAAGCAAAAGAGAATTTCTATTGTTAGACTAACTGTCCACTACCTTGGGTGCCTTGAGGCATGATTGCTTCTCATTGTGCTGAACTGTTACCAACCAATTATCTTGTTGAACATAATTGGTCTCCATTATAATATCATTGCAGAAGTAACTGTATCAGTTGCTTTATATAGCCCCAAAACTTGTAGAACTTTGATTACAAAGTCTCTCAAGGAGACCTAATTTGATGAGTGAATTTTACATGCATTATTTTAAGAAGAGTTCAAAGTTGTATATCATCACTGCACCAAGGTGCGCTTTTTTGTACATACTGAGAAAATTACACCTTTGAGAAAAAAGTACAGTAAAATAGCTAAATTAAGCTATACTGAATAGCTTGATAAAGCTATAAAGCTATTTAAAGCTATATAGCTAAATAAAGAGATTGTACTGGACCTGCTAAACTCCATGTAAGTAGAACAACTATCATTACTATGTGATTCACGATCAACAGTGTTCAATAACAGGTCACAGGACTGAGGAGTCGGCAATTTTATCAGTAAAACAGTGAAAACAATAACCTGTGATCTACGCTAGCGTAAACAAAGTCACATTATTTTTTACATTGTTTTTTTTTATGAAATTGCCGGTCCACTCCATTGTCTTTTTTTATAATCATTTCTCTCCCCCACTTGGAATATTATAGATTAACTTTCAAACTTTTAATCCGTACTTGTTTACTTTTTCACTTACGGGTCAGTCAAAAAAAAAAATAATTTAATTCCCTTCTTATCATGCTTATGCCATGTCTAGACTAATTTACATATGCAGTGATAAATGTACAGTACTTGGCCATAAGTGAGTCATAATTTTATTTTTCCGCTATATATTTCATTAGGATACAAATTTTTCTAATATATTCTTGCAGTGTCATTTATTGTTTCTTTTTAATGTCTAAAACACCATAAAATGCAGAATTTGTTGTAGTTTCTTCACATTATTTCAAAATAGTTTTATCTTTCTGCATTACCGTGAAATCACAGGTCAAGTGCAAAACAAAAATTTTAAGACTTCAATTTTTTAAGAAATCTTAGTCATTTGAGGTTAGAAATTTTTGTCATGACAATATTTTATGATTTATTCTCAATAGTTTAAGTATCATTTTGTTTATCATTTAAGATAAGAAAATTTTAATAATTCTGAATGTTTCAGTGAAAAAATCATGAAAATTGAGCTAAAATTGACTTCACAACAAGTTTTAAATAAAATAGGTTTTTCAATGAAATATATAGTGTAAAAATAAAATTATGACTCGCTTATGGCCAGGTTCTGTATATCAATGAATTTGAAAAAAAATTAATTAATTAAATTGTTACAAAGTTGATAAAAAATGTACATGTATTGTACTTAATTTATGTTGCAACTCCAAACAATATTTATTTTATAATTCTCACTTGATAATTACAAGAATTAAGAGAAATAATATGGGTTTTTTTACCCCACATGAAAAATTATGGGATAATAAACCCCACATTTTATTTTTAGTGAAACGTGGGTTAAAAAACCCCACGAAAAATAATATGGGTTATTTAACCCCATGGGGTGAAAAATAAACCCCATGGGGTTTTTGTGGGGTTTTTTGTGGGGTATTTTTAAGTTCATGTTTCCCCATGGGATTTTTGTTTTTGAACTCAAATATCTCAAAAACTAGCAGAAAATGTTGAATTTTTTTTTTCATAAATCAATTTGATTATAAAAACCCCACCACTTAAAAAAAACCCTAAGATGATAGCTTTGAAGGAAAAGGGTGCGCAAGTTCGGAAAAATGTCCATTCCGAAGTTGTCCGTCCCACTGTTAATTTTTCTCACAAAGAGACCAAAAATTCAATAAAACGAAAAATTGTACAGTAAAAGTTTATATTATTTACATGGTAGATATTTGCCGTTTCAAGTCTAGTTTGACTCTCTTACCTGTACGTACTCTGTAGTCTGCATAGCTAATTCTCACTAGATGATGAGCGACATATAACGTTCCTAAATATATTTCAGGATATTTTATGACTTGATGAAGAATCTGTCGGATTTCTCTAACCTCCTACAGGATGAGTATAGCAGAATGACGGTGTTCGCTCCGTCCTCTAAATATTTATATTCATTGTCATCGAATGATCTACAGAGAATGTCATCAAATCCACAGGTCCTCAGAAAAGTAAGATGTTTTAAAGACAATGATAAACATTTAGATATGAAAATTTGTCCTTTGCACAAGTCCTAAGAAAAGTTTGATGGCTTAAAATACTGAAAAAATGTTAAAATTTAGAATTGAAAAAAAAACTGTAACTTTCTGGTTTTAAGGATATTGTTATTCATTCATTGTAATGGCTATATATATCAATGTTAATTGGAATCATTACTTATTGCCTAATGATTAATATAAAATAGCTGAAAGCTGAATAACAAATAATGTTTTAAATTTAATTTTAGATTTTTAAAGGCCATGTCATTCCAAATGGGCTGCTGGATAGTAAATTCATTAGAGAACATATGCAACACAAGTTCACGTTTAGATCCACCTATGGAATTCCATTTACGTTTGAAAAACAGAGTACAGGTACTTGAAAAATAAGAATTTTGTTTTTAATGTCTATATGATTTAATTGTAGAATGAAATATTTAATACTTTCGTAAAAGCAAGATTTAAATTGACATAGAATTTGGGAGAAAAATAGAAAATTTCAGATGTTCATGTATTTTTATGTAGATACTAAATGTCAAAGAACATATAAAATGACATTGTATATATTATATTATGCAGAACATCTCTGATGCAAGAAGTCCGAATGTTTTTTGCTTCAATAAAAATTAACTTGTTATATAAGGAAACATTTAGCTTATAAAAACAATTCTCTTGTTTATTTTTTACAGTTGAAGGGACGTCAATTGATGCGGGATTTAGTAACCTTAGATATGATATTGACATAAATAGAGACGGAGTAGCTTGTAGCAATGGGGTCATCTACATCATCGATGGATTTCTGGATTACTCCTTTAAAAACATTATCGATGAGATGAAAGCTCAGGATAAATTGAAGTAAGTTCATGAAAAATGTTAAACGATTTATAAGGAGGGAATCTCTCAGAGATACAAACTTTCAAAGGCAATAATGCATCTCAACTGGCTAAATCTGAGAGATAAAGAATCTAACGAGTGCTCCTTAGAAATCGCTTTTTCCCTTTCAAAATCAATATAATTCTATTTAAGTGACAGATTCACCGTTTGAAATTTCATTTTTTTTTTAATATGATAAATTCTTTGTAATCTTAAGTTTTACTTATTTAAACCTGTCTGCATGTATAATTCAATAATTTTAACAAAAAATGAATGAGTAAACTTGTGAATTAAATGCTGTTTTTTTCAGAGCTTCTCTTCAGAATATTATGGGTATTTTCCCACCTGGAGTAGAGGAAGATTTTCGTGACACAAATAACGAGTTTACGGTGTTTATGCCGGCCAGTGAGGCCTTCCTATACTTGTCACAGCCTGAGATATCATACCTCTATAATCTTGTGAACACCTCAGAAAAATATGAGGTAAACTGTCACAAACTTTAAATTCAAACTTTTTTTGATTTCGTGAAGGATATGAACCTCTTACAAATGTTTTTCTCTATACCTTGCTCCTCCATGGCACCTGATCCCACCTCTGATGTTTTGGAGGCCCGTGTTTGCTCTGCTCCAAAACGTGTATTGTTTAATTGACTTTTGTGCTTGAATACTGTTAGTTTTGTCAATATATGTCTATTAAAAGTTTAGCATACTACTTGTGAAGAAGTTTATCCTATTAATGTTACAATAATTTCCATAAATCTTTCCTTTTAATGCTGAATTTAAATTTATTCTTGGTTTATCTTATAATTTAGCTACTTGAACGTCACACAGTAAATGGTACAGCACTAAGTATAGAGAGAATTCGGGCTACATGTAGTGATGAAAATAAAACAGACTGTGTTCTCAAAGTCAATGTTATTTTTAAAGAGGAAGACACTCAAGGTAAATATTTCTTATGTAAAAAAAATATACAATGAAACATTTTCAAATTCATATACATGTGTGTATTTTCTTTGCAAAAAGAAATCAATTTCTTGCAGAGAAAACTACATGTAACACTTGACATTTCATCATTCTATTAATACTTTGCATTTACAATTAGCCTTAAACTTCATTAAACAAAGAATTCCAATTTTATTTAAACAGAAATAGTGCTGGAATGGAATGGAGTGCAGTCGAAAATAATCCAGTCCAATATTCTAGCAAACAATGGGATTATCCACATCATAGACAGAATTTTATTTAAGGTGGAAGAAGAGTCCACTCTTCCCACAAACACTTTGAGCACTCGCGGAGTGAATGGAGCTAGTAGGAATTTCAGTGTGCTAGTTTCGTATTTTTCATTATTAACTACAATGTGCCTTTTTTACCTCTTGACAAGGTGATACAAGAAGTATTTTAGTGAATCAAAATTTTGATTCTGATATTGCCAAAAGAATCCAGTGTTCAAAGAAACGGATGTCAGAAACTTATCTCTTAGGTCTGGAATGCTCCTTGTGTATTTTAAATGCATTCAGGAATTTGTTATGATCGAAATCACATTGATAGAGTGAAAGAAAGAATGAGATTGACAATAACAGAATATTGTATTGACAGCAATATGGACGGAGAATGAATCTCTCAGAATATACCAAGCAATATGCTTCTAATTTTCTTGGACCGATTGCAAGGATAAACAGAAACGAATAGGGCAAATCCGTATTTTACCCAAACATTCCGATGTCAGATTAATGTAACAAGTGTTTTATCAATATGAGTATGGGGGTAGAAAGAGTTGTAATTATTTATTTTATGGCACTGAACAGTTGAACATCCAATGGACCTTTGTCTCTATAATTTATATTTGTTATGCATGTCTCTCTAGAATTCCATTTTATGTAGTATTATTTTTGATAATTATGTGCCTGTAGGTTTTTAATAGTGATTTTTAATTCATGTATGAGAGTTGTATTTTTTGTACTATAAAATGTTAAATGTAGATATATTCTCGTGATTTTATTCCTTACTGCTCTTTTAGTGAAACAAAACATGAACAAAATATTTAAGCTTCAAGTGCTATAATCATTAAGTTAAAAAATATCAGTATGAAGCATGTCTGTATATGTTTATGCACACTGACGATTTACATGTAAATAAAGAAATTTTACTAGTGTATGCTATGTAAGCAACAAAAAAGCATTCAAAATTAAGAATATAAACTCTGAATAATAATCACTTGATTCTCGTAGGAAAATATAATTTCAGTTGTGTCATAAAATTTTCCGATATGTTAAATTGATGTTAATAAAACGTTACTGTATTATTTGATATATTTCCATGTATGTGCGCAGATGTGTTTATTGTGTTTTATTGAAATTTGATGTATGAATTTTTGACGTTTTATAAATGTTAACATTTGTAGTTTTTTAGTGTAAATGTTGAAAATAATTCATGAAATAAAGATAAATAAATACAAAATATCTCTTCCCTCCTCATAAATCACCAAAAGTTGTAATTAACTTTTATGATCCGTTGTTCTTTGTTGGAAGACTTTGTAAATTGTTTTCAATATCATCTTTTTAAGAACATTTTGGGCGGAAAAGAAAATAATCTTAGGTAAAATGTACGTTTTTTTTATGTTATGACATCTTGGGCAGTGAGGGGTCATTCAAGATTAGAGTAAATAATCAACAAAAAGTATAGCAAAACAATATGATTTTTTTTCCAAGGAACAGCAAAGTCATATATAATCGTTTTTCTATGAAAGCAACCGCAGAAAGTGTGGATTATAAATCATATTACATAAATCATAACCCCCCATCTTAATGACTGGACAGGATAGGAAGTACCAGGGTAAAATGATATCACTTGGATGTTTGCATTGACAAAACTTCATTTATTAAGCAAGAAAAACATTACTCATACTGATGGCCAAGTGTATTCCTTTTTAATATTATGTATATATATTTTTAAAGTAATATGACCATTACCCAACATCGTTTCAGGAAAAGAAATGCATATATGTGATATTACCTCAACGGACAATATAATTTAATATTTATTCTTGACACAGTTTGTGTATGGGTTGCCATGACAATTAGATTTACAGACACACACGCCTTTTCTGCAGTAAGCGTTCTTTCCGCATTTACCACCACAAGGAATGGAGAATTCTACAACAAAATTATAAATATATTATCTAACAATTAACATTAATATCTAACAATTTTGACACCCTTTCCTTTATTCACAATATGTCAATATAAAATGAAAACAAATGACTTGCAGCTTATTGTCATAGAGAGAAAAACATTAGAACTAGGTTGGACAGAAGAATAATGCTGTCTTATGCAGTAATTTGTCAACAAATACCAACAAATTTTAAAAGAACTTTTAGTTCTGCAATACTTGTCCACATGTCCGGTTAATTTAACAGTTCCAAATATTAAGCATTAAGTATAAGCAAATGTCTTGTAGTATACAATACGTACATGTACATGTGTAACTACATTTCTTACTGTCTATATGTCTGGTAAGTTTAGATGTAAAACAGTTAGTTTCAAACGTGACAATGTAGTTAAAAGGGGAGAAAATGACTTGCACTGACGATACTCACTGTGTCTACATCTCTTGTAAGGATTACCCACGTACCCACTTCTACACACGCACTTCCTTTTAGGGGCATCACAGTAAGCGTTCAGTCCACATTTTCGAACGCAGCCAGGAACTGATCAAAATATATTTCAATGTTATATTTTTTTTTCAAAATTAATAAACACTATAAAAGACAATGATATATCTTTTAGCTTTTCAATTTTTCTTTCGGAAAGGGATGGATGTTTATTATATTTATTAGTTGTGTCGTCTAAATCTAAATGACGTAATAAGTATAGTAAATATACATTTAAATAAGGGATGATGTTGTTAATCAGATGATTTATTTATTGTTTTTAATTTACGAACCCATTTCTCTATTATCATTTAATATTCTTTATCCTGTTGCCATTTTGGTTAAAGTTATAATAATTTTCTCAGTAAAAGTTACCTCCCCTATCAAAATATCAAAGAAATTCAAAACTTTCATGTAACATAGTGAATACTCACCTGGTTTACATCCGACAACAGGGTTTGGTCCATATCCGGGTTTACATTTACAGAATTTTCCACTCTGACAGATAGCATAGGGGCCGCATCCCCCTTTACAACCATACACTTAACGAGAAAAAATATAACAATTTATATACTTTATCATGTTTATTAATAAAATTAAATTTAATTAATTTATTGTTTTTACAAACGATGTGGCTGTTCCATTGAAGTATTTGAGTAGATTCTAGTAGCATTGATTTCAAACTTTAAAAAAAATCTCTGGATCCAAGGTAGAAACAATGCTAAAAGGGATGAGAGACGGAGAAAGAAATCTTACAAAAAGATCAATGTACATGAAACTTACAGAGGACAAAAGCTTGAAATAACGTGTTACGAAACTTACATGCGATACATCGAACGTGTGGATTTCCTATGAATTTTGGTTTACATTTGCATATTCCTTTTCTTTTGTCACATACAGCGTTTACACCACAGCCTCGTTTACATTTGTACTCTGTTACATTACGAAAACGAGACAATATATAATTTAATATATAACATCATACATGTAACATCAATCAAAAACATTGCGTTCCAAGTACATAAAACAACCGTGTATATGTACATGAGGCAAAATAAAAATCAAAAATAAACAAACAAACAAAATACACATTAAATTATATGCAAAATGTACTTATACCATATTTATAATATTCATATTAAGTCTTGATAACATAACTTCGTCAGAATGTATACAGTATTTACATGTTTATAGCTTGCTGTTCATCAAGATTTTGATATCTTCCTACGATTTTGAAATCTTCCAACATTATAAACATATCATATTCAATTACATTTTTGTTTTTCATTTTTGCTTTTCCAATCCAGGCATGGATCATCTTTATTATTAAGTTTGGTTTCACATTGTAATTTTACCTTTGAAACAGGCGACCAAAGGGTTTCCGAAGTATCCAGACTTACACTGACATTTTCCAGACTTACAAATTGCGTACTTTCCACATTTGTTTCCACATGGTCCTCCTCCTTTCACACAAAGCAAAATAAAAATCAAAAATAAATAAACAAAGAAAATACACATTATAGTTCCTATATCATATACCAAATAATTCACTAGTGTTAACAAATAAAACTGTTAAAATACTAAGCTTTATATTTATAATATATACAGATTTAGAATTTAAATAAAAAAATCTAATAAATCAAAAAATACTAGCTGAATTTTTTCCCCTAAGATTTTAATATTTAATTGCAATTTTTTGGATACATCGCAGATTCTAAGCTTTAGACATTAAATACAAATATTTAATTTATTGCGTAAATTTATTCCGTGAAATAATTTAGTACTTGTAGATAAATTTATTGGATACAAACGTACTTTTTTTCTTAAATAATAAATATATTTATAGAGTTTAATAAATTTTGACTCTCCATTTCATATAATTTGCCATATTTTTTACATCTTACGATTTAACTAAATTGTAAAGCCTTAAAGCTTTGCAGAATATTGAAGGATTGTTGTTTAACCTCCCTTGAGAGAGTTTTTGAAACATTGATATAAATAGAGTTACCTGGATAACAGCCTCGTAGAGGATTGCCTTTAAATCCACGTTTACAAACGCACGTGTGACCTCTATAACAATAAGCGTTTCGTCCACATCGACCAGCGCACCCTATCGGTAAATATGGCGGCAAATATCGTGGCTGATGTCTGTAGTAATGGTAGTGCTTATGGTAGTGACGTGCTACTGGATGGCGGATCACAATAGGTCTCCTACGTCTGGATAGAGGTTTTACTTGTGAAATTATTTAATGAATGAGATTGACAAAGCGAGATGTCCAATTCTTTATCTCTGCGTAGGAATTTTATCTATTGACGTTATAGTACAGGTGATATAGAAATTTTCATGATTTTTTAACTTTTGATAAAATAATATATCAATCCGGAAAAGTTTAATATACGTGTAGTAGCTCTTAATCAGACATAAATTATAACTTCTTTCATGTAGATTTGCTTTGATTTTCCTCTCCATATAAGTTGTTCTTATTTGATAAAGGATTCAATTTTTATCGTAAATTTTCCTACCTGAAGGTTTTCTTTATTCTGATGATTTTTCTTCTTGGGTATTTCCTCCTCACCAATCTTATTCTTTTAATTCTTCTCTTTATTGGGTATTTTCGGCGAACAAATCTAATTCTTTTTATCCTGAAATATGAATAAGAAACCTTTAACAAAAATGTTTTGTCTAAATACATGCACTTGATTCTTAAAATCTTAATGTTAATTGGTTGATTTAAGATGTCAACATGACCCAATCTTGGTATTGTTTGTCTGTCCTTTTCAAAATTTAAAATTTTGATAAATATTCAGATGCCACCAGTTGCCTCTGCAGGGTTGCATATTTAGACCTATATATACTAGGCACTCTGAGCCAATGAACAGTGGGGGATTTTTCGTCGGCAAGAGATGCTCACTCCTCCATGACACCTGATCCCATCTCTGATGTTTGGGAGGTCTGCGTTTGCTCTGCTCCTGTTTTTTTTTTTATTGTTTTATGGACGTTTGATCCTGAATACTGTTCGTTATGTCCATATGTTTCATTCGTGCCAGGACATATTGCGATATTGAAATCCTATTAGTACAATCTCACACGAACTTGTCTTCAATGTCAACGTCTTCAAAATCAAAATCAACGTCTTATTGAGTGACCCTGAAGCATTCAAACCACCATACCACACGGGTGATAATCTTTGTTTCGAAAATAAACAAAAAAAAATAAAATGTGTTAACAACACTGTGTTTGTCATTTGACGGATAATTACAAACCGAAATCCCTGTCGCTGTAAGTATTGTCTCGAAAAAGATCCTTAACAATCCAATGTTTTTGTGAGCCGAGCATATATCTAAATTTACGGTCCTACATCGGCAGTGTTGCTATAACCATACGTATATGAGAGGAAAGTTCTCGAGAGGGTCATTCAAAAATAAACAAACAAAGCCTGTGTTTTCCGATTTACCTTCTGCTTGCCCGTCTGATGCCACCTCTCCTTATTTTATGACCAACGTATCTCCTTCTGTTCCCGTACCCTTTCCTGCGGACTGCATAGGTACCTAAAATTCAAAGGATATAATTCATGTATACTTTTAACCGCTTAGATTTATCTCCAATGAAATAGTTACAAAAAGGTACCTAAAACGCAGAGAATGTGAAATTCATTTCTTTATCATTTTAATTGCAATAGAATTTGCAGCTCTCCACCAGTAAGTGGTGGAGTCTCCACATTACTGAAAAATTCTCGAGAGGGACGTTAAACAACACACAATCAATCATTTTAATTGAGAAAATTTGAGTCTACTGAAACCAGTATGAGTTATCATTTCATTTTCAATTTCAAATGCATTTTTTTTAGGTATATAGCAAATATCTTCATGTCATGTACGAGATCAGAGAATCATATTTGAAACAGTTAAGAATTGAGAACTTTTTTTTATACAATACTTAATTACATATATTCCAACATAATCTTGAGAAAAAGAGCGGTACTGATAGAGAAAAAGAGACAGCTGTAAATAGGATATTTATAATGTGACATCGACCGCACTTTTTAACTGTATAAGTTCAAATAAAAGTCCTGTCTTTTTTAACCAAAAAAAAGGAAATAAAGTACTAAAGTTTTTTACCGTCCACATCCTCAGGGAAAAAGGCGATGATGCAGAGGCAGAAAAAGACTGATAGAAATATTAAGCGTAAAAGAGTCCTTGTTTCCATGCTTAGCTCTTGGCAAATACTTTAGATGGACCCTCATGAAAAAAAATCGCTTTTTATACCACGATAGAAAATATGCTTAAATATGCAATATGTATTTTGATGAAAAATGACATCCAAAAAATTGTTTTGTGTAATATTGTGTTAAGTAGAGTGTATGTTTTCGATGTCGGCGAAATAATCCCTTGTAGTAACACGGTTAAATGTTAAACACTGAGGTTCATGAACAGTTAATGATAGGTAGAAGGAATGCGTTCCAATATTTTTTTCTGGTTGCCGCCACTGACACTGCAATCCTTGCAAATCGAACATTTCATCATTTTCTTTTGTAAGCAGATTACAGTAAATCAAACCGACATTTAGCTCTACAATAATTCTTTCTCTAGAGGAAAAAAAAATTCTGTTTCATACTTCACTTATTTTTAATGGTATCTAATTATTTTTTTAATGCAGTTAGAAAATATTTATTGATCATTAAAAACACTGAAGATGTTGACTTAATTAAAGTGATATTTTGGAGAGCAGATGTAGGCGATGGAGAGATGGATAAGAGGTTAAATGCATATAAATGTATTTCAAAGAGGAGAAGCTGATCTCGAAGATTTCCGATTGAGTGTAGTTCATTATTGAACTTTCCATTGATTAATGCAAAATATATTCCTTTGTTGTTTTATTTGAAGCATGTACAATGTTGTAGCCAGGTTCACTTCATTAGCATTACATCATCTGGGTTCTCTCCTCTCCATCACATTATATGTCAAGACTTAATCCACACGCCTTTTGTAGGTACAAAATTAAGAAAATAGTAGCTGTATTTGTTAGTAACACTATCCACACTATCAATATTCCCTTTTTTTCAAAGTCATGAAATGTTTTCTGATAGTTGCTACAACTTTGCTGGTAGATTTATTTATTACATCATGCAAAGGTAAGGGAATTATAATTCTTATTCAAGAAATAAATATTGTTTTTCTTAGCTCAGGTTTTCTTTGCTAAGTTAGTACTTTTTTCTTTCTGCAGGGGAAACCGTTAATAGCCTAGAGGTTGGTAGTTTAATTTCCGAATTAAAAAAAAAAGAATAAAAAAGAATATGTGAAAAACTAAATAGTGTAAATATATAGAGTGTGCTTAAATGATTAAAAATCAAATGTTTATTTGAGAATTAATTAATTAATTATTATAATTTAGCAAACGTTTATGGTTATAACAACCAATGTATATATTTTTTTAAAGGAGGTAATTGATTTTATTTGCCTTTAAAGATAGAATAAAAGGAAAAGGAAGAGGATTTAATACTGACTGTGTTTAATTAAAAATAATTCAAAATCACAAAATTAAAAAGTATTTAAAATAAGATTTTGGTTACATATATGTAAAGTTCGTTCTTTTAGGATGAAGGAGGCAGTGGAAAGTCTGATCGTTCAAAGCGTTATAGGTCAGTTGTCTTGAAAACGAACGGGAAGTGGAATGATTACACAACAACTCCATATTACCGGGAACAAATCACCACACCACCTCACAAGTTTAATTCCCAAAATGTCAAATCAACCTACAGTGAAAATATCCACTCAAACTGGGGAAAATATAGAAGGAAAGGCATGAAAAATATTCGACGGAAAAGAGGGGTATATCGCCATGGTTACAGAAATATGTATAGAACTCGCGAGGTGAGGAAAAAATTATACAGAAGACGACATTCAAAATTAAGGCAAAGATTCGGAAGACAAACGATTAGAAGACGTTTCCGGAAAAGCTATAGAAACAGTTTTAACAGACATAACGTATATAGAAGACGTCATCAAAGATTTAGAAAAAAAATCAGAGAACGCATATACAGAAGAAAATCGCATAAAAAATTTAGGAGAATTGCAAGAAGATGTAGAAGGCATAACATTAGGCAACATTCGTATCACAGAAGCTGTAGGAGAATACGAGATAGAGGAAAGAAATATAGTTACAAACTGCATAGGTATCGCAGGCGAATCAGAAAAAGATTTAAAAGGCATTATGTCAAACGTAGATTACGTAAAGGATATGGAGAGCATTTCAAAAGGCTGACAACATATATAAAGCACCATCGGAAGTATAGAAATGAATATAGAATTATCAAAAATAAATATTTAAATTCTATCCAAAGAAAGGCTTTTAGAAAAAGGTCTAGATATGGTCATAGAAAGAGATATAAGAGATTTTATGATGGAAAACAAATTTTTAAAAGAACTTGGGGAAGATTTTCTGTTTTTAAAACAGGAAGGTCATTACATCCAAGACATTCAATCCGAGGGCAAGCAAGAAATACAAATGGTTCAGCTTATGGAAAACCATATAATTTCAGACCAAGTCATCGTCCACAATATCGCAGAAATAAACAGACAAGAAATAAAACATTTCAAAAAAGAAGATATGTATATAAGAGGCATTTCATTATAAGACACTACCATGGTCAAATAGGAACTTTCAATAGAAGTTATGCAACTAAAAGAGGATCGCAATATAGCAACAAGGGCAGACTATATGAAAATCAACTTCACAAGAAATTCTCTAACAGCCGTATGCTTTTGGAAGCCAGAAAGACATACAAACGAAAACATGATAAAAATAAAGGACACTCCTTGATTTCAGGAAAAAATAGATTGGCACAAGATCATTCTAACTGCAATGATGAAGATAGGAAAGGAAAAAAACATAATAAACCAAGTAAAGATACCTACGACAAAGCTAAATACAGTTTGAGGACACAACATCAACTATCTACGAAAACTCAGAAACATAAAACGCATACAGAAGTTAATCCGGAAAGAAGAATATTGCCTCTTGAGGAGGATAGGTACCGACCTCTTCGGAATTATTACCAATTGAATGAAGATAGAAGAGGAGAAACTAGCAATTATCAAAAGGATCGTCCTCTTTTAAAGGATCGGTATGTGGTTAATTCTCGTGAGAAAAGAAAGTTTAACAGACAAAAGACTACATCCGACTATGGATTGGCAGGAAACCCAGTTACGAGGTCTACATCGAAAATAAAAAATGTTGCAAGTAAACCGCACGGAACAGTGAAAAAAACAGATAATGAAAAATTGGAAGAAAGGGAGAGAAAAGAAAGCAAAGTGACTGGCGCTTTGGTACCTCATAGGTGGATTTTGGAGAAAAAATAGCTTTTTAGATCTTTTAATAAATCATTTTATGGATATTTTGTAGATATGGTATTTATTGTTGCTTTTAAAATGTGAGTGAACCAATTAAAACACAAAATGAGGTCAACTTTTTAATAAAGACAATGAATCTATTAAATTTATGTCATTATGTGGAAAAATAGGAGACACATAATGGAATTAGATAGCTATTTCACAGTATGGAAAAATAAATTTTAAAAAATGCTTCTTACATTGTAATTGAACATGTATATTAAATTATTAATAGAGTTAATTAAAAAGAAAATGAATTTACAATAAAAGGGACAGGTCAGGGTAGCCAAATGGTAGAGCGTTCGCTTCGTGATCGGGAGGCCCGGGTTTTATTCTCGTTCGCGGCCCCGCGTCAAACCTAAGACGTAGACATAGGTATTGACTGTACCTTCACTAAACGCTCGGCATTAGAAATGAAAGTCACGGGTCTTTCGGATATGACCTTACAAACATAGGTCTAGTATCGCGGTAGGCGTTGGCACGATAAAGACCCCTAACTGCTCAATGGCCCTGAGTGCCGAGTATAGGTCTAAATTTGAAGTCCTTCAACGGCATACGGTGACGTCTCCATTTGAGTGAAAAATTCTCGAGTGGGACGTTAAAAAACATACAATCAATAAATCAATCAATATAATAAAAGGGATAGCACTATAATCCAAATAAAAGATAGATTTTTTCCAAATCTATAGAAAAGCTTAAGATGAAATGAAAGCGGTGAGACATTGATAAAAAAAAAATTAAGGGCATTTTTAAAAGGAGCAGGAGCAAACACAGACCTCCATAAACTCAGAGGTGGGATCCACGGAGAAGTGAGCATCCTTGCTAACTTTGATAATTATATGGGGAATCTATGTTGAAAGGATAGAGATCTGTTTTTGCAAACTATATAATCTTGCTTCTTCATCCATTGCACAAGATTTAATATAAAAAAACTTCTTCATCTATTCATAATTTGTGTATGAAGTAAGATTAGAAAGGGTATTCAAGCTCAAAACCCTTGTAACAATACTGATCAGGAGCAAAGTAAACTCGGGCCTCTAAAACCATCAAAGGTGGGATCAGGTGCAATGAAGGAGAAACATCCCCTATGGACTGATCACACCCGCCATTTACTCCTTGTCATATAATAATCTGGAAATAACGGGAAAATCCGTCCACAATGTATAATCGTTTTTTCTTGGGTTTCGATATAGGCGGCAAAATCATACTTTTGGAGAAAATTATGTTGTCAAATAAGACTCGATTAAAAATATGATAATCTAAATACATAAATATATGTGACATATATATTAACATATTCTACAAGTCTATAAAACATATCAATAACTTTTCAATACTCACTAGTAGTATTTCTTAAACGGTGTTATTAAGTGATAAAAACATATGTTGCAATATTTCGCTTATTTCATTAATGAAAAAAAAAATTAAAATACGGGATACGGGGAATATTTCGTCCCAGTTTTATTTTCGCCCTTTTCGTCCTACCCACCGATGACCGAATTTAAAACAGGGCAAATTCAAAAACCGCAGTATAATATTTTGATCAAAACTGTGACTGGGCGAAATTAAAATGGGACAAAATCGTTTGCAAGTATGAAAAGGCAAAAATAACACGGGGCGAAATTAACCTGATATTCAGTAATTCCCATACGCATCAAACTAACAATATAAGTAGTATGTTTATTTCTCAAAATTATTATTGCTCTTATGTGAACAATGTGAGATGTTTATGTATGTGTGTTACCTAAAAAGACGAATTAATGTCCATGTAACATATGTTGGCAAAATGTACCTGGAGAGAGTTTGTTGACCTAATAT